GGGTCTTCGCAATACGAGTAGTAGTACGTGTACACGCTTTGTACTGCCCAGCGTCACGTGATCACAACCGACGTATGAGTGAGGGTCTTCGCAATACGAGTAGTAGTAGGTGTACACGCTTTGTACTGCCGAGCGTCACGTGATCACAACCGACGTATGAGTGAGGGTCTTCGCAATACGAGTAGTAGTACGTGTACACGCTTTGTACTGCCGAGCGTCACGTGATCACAACCGACGTATGGGTGAGGGTCTTCGCAATACGAGTAGTAGGTGTACACGCTTTGTACTGCCCAGCGTCACGTGATCACAACCGACGTATGGGTGAGGGTCTTCGCAATACGAGTAGTAGTACGTGTACACGCTTTGTACTGCCCAGCGTCACGTGATCACAACCGACGTATGAGTGAGGGTCTTCGCAATACGAGTAGTAGTACGTGTACACGCTTTGTACTGCCCAGCGTCACGTGATCACAACCGACGTATGAGTGAGGGTCTTCGCAATACGAGTAGTAGTAGGTGTACACGCTTTGTACTGCCGAGCGTCACGTGATCACAACCGACGTATGAGTGAGGGTCTTCGCAATACGAGTAGTAGTACGTGTACACGCTTTGTACTGCCCAGCGTCACGTGATTACAACCGACGTATGGGTGAGGGTCTTCGCAATACGACTAGTAGGTGTACACGCTTTGTACTGCCGAGCGTCACGTGATCACAACCGACGTATGAGTGAGGGTCTTCGCAATACGAGTAGTAGGTGTACACGCTTTGTACTGCCGAGCGTCACGTGATCACAACCGACGCATACGAGTGCTTTGATACACGAGTGCTTTGATATACGAGTGCTTTGATATACGAGTGCTTTGGATTACGAACACGTGTTTCCCGAACGAATTCTGCTCGCAAATCCCAAGGTTTCACTGTGTATATGATTTAGATTCTAGGGGTCTTCCGGGCAAGTCACGTGATAACACATCACGACGTTTTTGATCGCAACACAAAAAAGCAATCGGCTCCAGGTTATTGATGTGACTTGACCGATAAGAACACAATGGTTATGAATTCGTGCAGTCACGAAAGCTTTTAAATCAATGCTTAAACTAATTTTATATTTTTAATTTCCCCTCCCCCTCTAAGGGACGAACTGAGCTGCTTCTCTTCATTTGCTGTTTTAACACAATTTTATTTAACTCACTCTGTCTGTTGTTGTTGTTGTCGTTGTTCTAGCCTCAAATTCAACCTTCTGTGCCAGGCTAGGTGCACCAGGAGGTCACGGGGCGGACCCTGCAGGTGCCACGGGTCGACTGACTGAGACGAGTGGCCGATGCACCACCTGTGCCCCCCTACTGTGCCAGGCTAGGTGCACCAGGAGGTCACGGGACAGACCCTGCAGGTGCCACGGGTCGACTGACTGAGACGAGTGGCCGATGCACCACCTGTGCCCCCCTACTGTGCCAGGCTAGGTGCACCAGGAGGTCACGGGGCAGACCCAGCAGATGCCACGGGTCGACTGACTGAGACGAGTGGCCGATGCACCACCTGTGCCCCCCTACTGTGCCAGGCTAGGTGCACCAGGAGGTCACGGGGCAGACCCAACACGTGCCATGGGTCGACTGACTGAGATGACTGCCCAATGCACCACCTGTGCCCCCCTACTAGCCAACGGCCACCACCATCACCACCACCATCACCACCACCACCATCACCACCACCACCATCACCACCACCATCACCACCATCACCACCACCACCATCACCACCATCACAACCACCGCGTGTGCATTCTAGCAGGAGGAAGGGAGCGATGGCCAGGTGCTCAGCAGCGCTTGAAAATCCCAGCAGCAACTACTCACTCTGTCTGTCTGTCGTTGTTGTATCCTCAAATCATGTAACTCAATTTCAACCCACTACCCAATGTGGTATCGACTGCAAACTTATTACACTTACGTCATACCGATGGCAATACTATATTCTATCATTAAAAATTAAAAAAAATAAACAAATTTTTAAACGTCATTTTTTTTATACGTCACGTTTCAGCTTGGCTCTAATTGGCCCACGGTCAGCTGACCTTGGCTCTAATTGGCCCACGGGTCCCCCCTTTACGTCGCGGCGAGCTTGGGGGGCCCACTTCCTGGAGTGGCGGAGTTCTTCCGTTACTGGTACGGTACATTTCATGAAAGCGTGTTTTAAACAATTTAAATATTACTTTTTTCGATTTAAAGCTTTCGTGACTGCAAGGATTCATCTTCTTTGGTTCGTTCGGTAAAGTCATCACCCACGTAAAATGAGAATAAAATAATAAATTGATAAAATAAAATTACGCGATAATATTCTCACGACGTTTCGGCCACAACACAAGCGGCCTTCATCAGGTGAAGGGATGAGACTGTCTGGAGGACAGCGCCTCAACTTTAGCAACACGGATAGCTACGGGCCCCGTTCAGGCGCTGTCCTCCAGACAGTCTCGTCCCTTCACCTGATGAAGGCCGCTTGTGTTGTGGCCGAAACGTCGTGAGAATATTATTGCGTTATTTTATTTTATCAATTTATTATTTTATTCTCATTCTACGTGGTGGTGACTTTACCGAAAGAGCCAAAGAAGGTTAAATATTAATTATTTTATTTCAGAAGCTCACCTGGGTGGGGGGGGGTGGGGGGCAGTATCACCAAACGATCGCTGCTCAACGACACGTGCGGCGATGATGACGTCATCGTCGTCGTCATCATCACCACGTGGACATTTATGGCAGCTGCCCGATTCTCTTCTTTGGTTCTTTCGTTAAAGTCACCGCGTGGAATGAGAATAAAATAACAAAATAAAAATGAGACGATAAAATTCCCGCGACGTTTCGGCCACAACACGAGCGGCCTTCTTCAGGTGAAAGAACAGAACTGTCGGGACGACAGTGCTTCAATGAGTGCTGCTGAGATTCGTGGCGTCTTTGAAGCTCGGTGATAGGTGTGAGGTTAGTGTAAATGCGGTTGGTATTACCTTAAAGAGTCGCGGGCATCTCTTCAGGAAGGTGAGAGACTCGATTAGTTGAGCCTTCTTGTCCCGGAGTCTGTTGAATGATCTTAAGGTTGTGTGGAATCCCTCCCCGTAGAGGCGGTTAAGTTTCCATTTAAAGCTTTCGTGACTGCAGGGATTCATCTTCTTTGGTTCTTTCGGTAAAGTCACCACCACGTAGAATGAGAATAAAATAATAAAAATCGAAATTTAGCTGCCGAATACTCTTAAACCAAGGTGAGGCCATCATAGAGTACCATTTGCTTGTACACAACAACAACAATAACAAGCGCCATTCGCTACTAAGTAGCGGTGACGTCACCACGACGCCTGTGCCAGGCTATGTGCACGTTAAGGCCACAAAGTTTCGAATGCCCGCTGGCAGGAGGTCACGGGGCAGACCCAAATGAATGAGATGATTGGGCAGATGGACCACCTGTGCCCCCTACTGTGCCAACTTGCTGTGCTTTAGCCACCCGGCGCTCCGCTCATTGTTGTGAGCGTCGCTCCTCCGCCCTCCGTTGTTGTTGGAGAGCGACTGCCTCCAACTGCCCAGCAGCGTCCTTCACGAGCCTCCTCCACAGAGGCCGATCTTGACACCGCTGGTACCAGTTATCGGCAAGTCAACTCAGCTCCACGTCCTCCTGTACCACATCACTCCATCTCTTCTCTAGCCCGTGCCGCGCCAGTTTAGCCCCCTTGATGCGGCCGAACAAAAAGTTGTTTAAGCATGCGGTGGCTGGGCATGCGGGTTACGTGACCCAGCCAACACAGCCTTGCCTACCGGAGGAGCTCACCAATGGGACTTTGCCCAGATCTTTCAAGGATTTGTGAGCTCCTCACACAATCCAGCCTGCAGGTTAAACCCAGGATGGATCGTAGGCAGGCTAGCCTAAATGTTTCTAAACAGCGAAGATGTTCCATTTGAAGAGCCCACGTTTCACAAGCGTAGAGAAGTGAGGGAATGACCGTGGCCGAGAAGACCCGAAGCTTCGTGTGGAGCGACAGACCAGGTAGAAGCATACATTTTGTAAAAATTTTAATGATTGTTAGTAAACATTTTCATTTTAATGATTCTACCAGGGCTTTTCATTATGTGGAATGAATGTAATTGTTATAATTGTACTCTCCATTTTGCTTCGTTCTACTACAAAGTTTCAAGTGTTTTTATTTTAGTTATAATTACTTTAAATATTTGATAATTATAAGATAATTTCAATATAATATTCGTCTTGATTATTTTCAAGTGAACGCCTCCTTTTTAATAAATGTTTTCTCCTACAACATCAGAGTGCAGCGCCACATTTAATACACACTACAATGACTAATAGTTTAAAGCAATTTGAAGCATGTTTTATTTTCAAAACGGAAATATGGATTTTGGGGGGTCGGGGGGGGGGAGCAGAGCTTTGTGACGTCATATTTGAGGGGGGTCTGACTTTTTGTGACGCCGTGTGACGAGATGTGGGAGGGGGGGGTTGGTCAAAAATCGGTCAAAACCGCGTGACGTCATTTGTGGACGGCCCCGATGCCGCTCCAGCGACACCTCTGCCGTCAAAAAACGGAGCTGATCATGAGCACACTGCCCACTCTCCCCACAACTGCCCCATTACCAATAGTCCGGCAAAACAACAACAACAACAACAACGACAACAACAACAACCCTACCTCCTCGCAGGTGCCTGACGGTAACGCTGATTTGACCAGTACCATTGGCGGGGGGAAGGGGGAGCGTGGGTGGGTGGGAGGACCAATTTCGATTGGCCATTCCCCCCGCGGCGCTTGCCAGCCACCACAGCGGCCTAAAGCGGGCTCTGGGACGGGTTGCGAGGGACTGGTAACCCCTCCACCTTCAACTAAAGCGCCACAGAAGCAAGTGAGCGAATGAGGCTTTTCTTTAAAAAAAAACGAATCCAACACACGCGCCTGTACCCCCTCCCCTCCCCCAGCCACTCCCCCCACCCCCCTCCTCCGCCACGACAATCGACGCCTCACGCTGCCGGCGCGACCTCCCTCCCCCTCCTCCTCCTGCGGCGGAGGCTCACCCTGGCGGCGAGCCACGCCCTGATCTCGGCGGTGCGCAGGCCGTAGATGACCGGGTTGAGCAGCGGGGGCAGCACGTAGACGGCCATGTTGACGACTCCGCGCACCTGCGGCGACACCCGCGCGTAGCGCTCGACCCGGGGCATCGCGACGATGGCGAGGCCGCAGAGCGCGAAGACCCCCAGGCTGCCCAGGTGGGCCGCGCACGTGCCCGCCGCCTTGCGGCCGCGCCTCGCCGCCTTGCGGCACTCGAAGAGGATGCGCGCGTACGAGGCGGCGACGAGGGCCATGCCGACGCCCATCGTGAGCGCGGTGACCGCGATGCCCGCGGAGTCGTTGACGGCCGTGTCGTTGCACGCCAGCTTGGCCAGGGCCATGTGGCTGCACGAGAGGTCGTCGACGACGCGGCCGCGGCACAGGTCGAGCCGCAGCACGAGGCACAGGACGGCGGAGACGCACGCGGCCGCCGCCGCGTGCACGGCCGCGCAGGCCCGGAGGGCGCGGGCGTTGCCGACGAGGGCGCCGTAGCGCAGCGGGCGACACACGGCGAGGTAGCGGTCGATGGACATGGAGGCGAGGATGTAGTACTCGAGGCTCATGTAGACGTGCACGAAGTAGACCTGGGCGAGGCACTCGGCCGCCGTGATGGCGCCGGGCGCCACCAGGTCACGCATGGCACGAGGCAGCGTCGCCGAGCTGCCGACGAGGCCGTTGAGGGACAGGTTGGCGAGGAGGATGTACATGGGCCTGTGGAGGCGAGGGTCGCGGAGGATGAGCAGGCAGAGGAGCGTGTTGCCCATGACGATGAGGCAGTAGAGGACGAGGATGACGGTGAAGGCGAAGGGGCGGAGGGACTCGGGGCTACGGAACGGAGAGTTGAGGTACAGCGGAACGCCCGGATATGCAAAGAATGATAATAATGATGATGGTGATGATGATGATGATGACGGCGATGACCAAGACGGTGATGTGAGGTTGATGATTGCGGTGCCGGCGACGGCGGTGCTGTTGTTGCCGATGGTGTTGTCCATCGGATCTGCTGGGCGAGCGGAAATTCTGAAAGTAATCATTCAACGTTTAAACAAAGATTGGTCTTGGCAAGACCTGGTGAAGATTCGTGTGGGTAGTAAAATAAGATTTAAAACAAAGAACAATTTTTAACAAAGAAAAAAAGTAATGGGAGGTTTTCATATATCTGTGTTACATTTAATAAAGTCTATATTATGATAAAATCATGGGCTTTTTTATTATTATTATTAATCATATCTGCAAACCCGTCTGGAACGCATTCCCAAATTTTTTCGGTTGCCACGGATCCAGGCAAAAGTCGGCAGCACTGCGCGGGGTGGCTGGTGCACAGCCGCCGAGATCATCATTCAAAGGACCTTGGGATGAACAACCCCAACAACTAGTTTCTCTGTATGTAAAAAAATAACAATAAAAATATTTGTTTTTACCCCGTCTGGCAAATAAAACAATTGTGTTAAGATTGTTCAAACGGCAAATGGATTGAAGCTTTTGCAAGTGTGGTGACAATAATGCCTGCATGCGGTTATCAGTGGACTAGTGGCCACGGGAGGTAGTGACAGGGGAGTCAGCCTGCAGTGCGAGTGGACTGGTGGCCACGGGACATAATGACAGGTGAATCAGCCTGCAGTGCAAGTGGACTGGTGGCCACGGGAGGTAATGACAGGGGAGTCAGCCTGCAGTGCGATGGACTGGTGGCCACGGGACATAATGACAGGTGAATCAGCCTGCAGTGCGAGTGGACTGGTGGCCACGGGAGGTAATGACAGGGAAGTCAGCCTGCAGTGCGAATGGACTGGTGGCCACGGGACATAATGACAGGTGAATCAGCCTGCAGTGTGAATGGACCGGTGGCCACGGGAGGTAATGACAGGGGAGTCCGTTCTGAGTGTTAAGGGACTGGTGGCCACGGGAGGTAACGACAGGGGAGTCAGTTGTGAGTGCGAAGGGACCTACGTGACTTTACCGAAAGAACCAAAGAGTATGGATCCTTGCAGTCACGAAAACTTCAAATCTAGAATCTAAACACAACTCATTGTTGTGACCCAAATTGGTGCTCGACCAGATGACGCCAAAATTCGAAGAGAAAGTGGGTCGTGGCTCAAAAGAAAGCCGTCCCTTGGTGTGGACCAATCAGTTTCAAGGACAATGCATCATCATCATATATTATCATAGTATGTTTTTTGTTTGCATTTTGACTGCAGGTATTGTGGTTAATGCAGTGGCATGAATCCTTGTTAAAAGGTTTCAGTTTTGTTGCCAGACGAAAGGGGAAAACCCTATTACTATATTTTGGTACTGGCAAAGTAGGTCTAATGATGTAGATGCTCACCCCGAGCCCTCATTACTTTGTTAGTGGCGTTGTCTTTGAGCTGTGTGACGCCTTCTGGCGTCATCTGGTCGAGCACCAATTGGGTCGAGGGGCTCTAAACAAAGCCGTCCCTTGGTGTGGACCACTCAGTTTCAAGGACAATGCATCATATATTATCATAGTATATTTTTTTATTTGCATTTTGACTGCAGGTATTGTGGTTAATGCAGTGGCATGAATCCTTGTAAAAAAGATTTCAGTTTTGTTTCCAGACAAAAGGGAAAACCCCTGTTATTATCTCTTCTTATTTGCTTGGTTCTTTCGGTAAAGTCACGGAGAAGGGAAACAATAAAATAATAATTGCTCGTGTTGCAGTCGAAACGTCGTGAGAATTTTATTGTTTTATATTTTTATTATTGCATTGTTTCCCTTCTACGTGGTGGTGATTTTACCGAAAGAACCAAGAATATGAATCCCTGCAGTCACGAGAGCTTTAAATCAAAATATATATCCTTATTTGTTCATACTTTGACACTGGTTAAAAAAAGGTACCCAAATGTTTGTAACAATTGTGTCTTTCCGCTGCTAGAATATCACCAACAATTTCGGCCTGCGCTGAGTAATAACTCGGTCCACCCCATCTCACGTTCGTATAGACGGGGATGGGGTTTGTTTTTTCACGCATGTTTAATTCGATTGTCCTAGGAGATGTTAACTGCCTCGCCCGCTATGCAGGAGGTCGTGGGTTCAATACCGACCCTGACGTCTGCCGTAATATTTAGAGTCTGCGTGTCTCTCTCTCTCTCTCATCATCATCACGGTGGCTAGGAGATGTTAACTACCTCGCCTGGTGTACAGGAGATTGTGGGTTCGATCCGGACCCTGACGCCTGCCGTAATATTTAGAGTCTGCGTGTATCTCTCTCTCTCATCATCATCACGGTGGCTAGGAGATGTTAACTACCTCGCCTGCTATGCAGGAGGTTGTGGGTTCGATCCGGACCCTGACGCCTGCCGTAATATTTAGAGTCTGCGTGTCTCTCTCTCTCTCTCTCATCACCATCACGGTGGCTAGGAGATGTTAACTACCTCGCCTGCTATGCAAGGAGATTGTGGGTTCGATCCGGACCCTGATGCCTGCTGTATATTTTGAGTTTGCGTGTCTCTCTTAAGTGCAGCAGGCAAGTTCAGCTTGCTCTGATACACACACAGCTGCAGTTGTGTGACCATCAAACGCACAGCAATGAACGACTCCAATTCATCACGACTCATCTCACTCCACTCCCCTCCACTCACTCTCCTACCTCTCCCCTCTCATCTCACTCCACTCCCCTCTCATCTCACTCTACTCCCCTCCACTCACTCTCCTACCTCTCCCCTCTCATCTCACTCCACTCCCCTTAAATATATTCAGAATCTCTATTTAGACTAGACCGGGTAGGGGTAATCCGATGAGCTATGAAGCTCTTCGTCGTGGATGTCCAGCGACGACACGAGGTCAGAGACGCTACCAAAAGTACAATCGGTTCAGAGGGACAATCGGGTTGCACAATGTATTCAAGGCAAGCGGGTGACTCAAAATGAATAGGAGCACAAATCGACTGGAAAGTACGTGGCCTATAACACCTGGCGATGTTGTTGTTTAAAGAATGAATGGGTGAGTGGGTGAGTCAGTGACTGATTGAATGGGTGAGTGAGTGAATCAGTGACTGAGTGAGTGACTGAGTGAGTGGGTAGGGTGAACGAGTCGGTGAGTGAGTGAGTGAATGGGTGGGTGGGGGAGTCGGTGAATGGGTGAGTGTGTGAGTGAGTGACTGAGTGGGTGGGTGAGTGAGTGAATCAGTGACTGAGTTAGTGACTGAGTGAGTGGGTGGGTGAATGAGTCGGTGACTGAGTGAGTGAATTGGTGGGTGGGGGAGTCGGTGAATGGGTGTGTGAGTGAGTGACTGAGTGAGTGGGTGGGTGAGTGAATCAGTGACTGAGTTAGTGACTGAGTGAGTGGGTGGGTGAATGAGTCGGTGACTGAGTGAGTGAATGGGTGGGTGGGGGAGTCGGTGAATGGGTGTGTGAGTGAGTGGCTGAGTGAGTGGGTGGGTGAGTGAATGGGTGGGTGGGGGAGTCGGTGAATGGGTGAGTGTGTGAGTGAGTGACTGAGTGAGTGGGTGGGTGAGTGAGTTAATGGGTGGGTGAGTGAGTCGGTGAATGGGTGAGTGTGTGAGTGAGTGACTGAGTGAGTGGGTGGGTGAGTGAGTTAATGGGTGGGTGGGTGAGTCGGTGAATGGGTGAGTGTGTGAGTGAGTGACTGAGTGAGTGGGTGGGTGAGTGAGTCGTTTAATGTGTGAGTGAGTGACTGAGTGAGTAAATGTTTAGGTGAATGGGTGAGTGTGTGAGTCGGTGATAGAGTGAGTGAATGGGTGTGTGAGTGCGTGGGGGACTGAGTGAGTGAATGGGTGGTTGAGTCAGTGACTGAGTGATTGAGTCAGTGACTGAGTGAATGGGTGAGTGAGTAGGTGGTTGAGTGAATGGGTGGGTGGGTAGGTGAGTCAGTGACTGGGTGAATGGGTGAGTGAGAAGGGGACTGAGTAAATGGGTGGGTGAGTCAGTGACTGAGTGAATGGGTGAGTGAGTCAGTGACTGAGTGAGTGAATGGGTGAGTGGGGGAGTCGGTGAAAGAGTGAATTCGTGAGTGAGTCAGTGAGTGAGTGAATGGGTGAGTGGTTGGGTGAGTGGGTGAATTGGTTACTGAGTGAGTGAATGGGTGGGTGGGTGAATTTTGACTTAGTGAGTTAAGGGTGTGTGAGTGGGGGAGTCGGTGAATGGGTGAGTGAGTCATTGACTGAGTGAGTGAATGGGTGGGTGGGTGAATCGTCGACTGAGTGAGTAATTGGGTGAGTGAGTGAGTGGCTGAGTCGTTGAACAAGTGAGTGAATGGGTGAGTGAGTGGGTGAGGGAGTGCGTGAGTCAGTGATTGAGTGAGTAAATGGATGAGTGGGTGAGTCGGTGACTGAGTGAGTGAACGGGTGTGTGAATGAGTGGCTGAGTCGTTGACCAAGTGAGTGAATGGGTGAGTGAGTGGGTGAGTGAGTGGGTGAGTCGGTGAATGAGTAAGTGAATGGATGAGAAGGGGAGTCGGTGAATGGGTGAGTGAAGGGTGTGTGAGTGGAGGAGTCGGTGAATGGGTAAGTGAGTGAGTGAATGAGTGAGTCGTTGACCGAGTGAGTGAATGGGTGAGTTGGTTAGTGAGTGGGTGAATCGGCGACTGAGTGAGTGGGTGGGTGGGTAGGTGAGTTGTGACTGCGTGAATGGGTGGGTTAGTGAGTCAGTGACTGAGTAAGTATATTGGATGGTGAGTGGGTGAGTCGGTGGCTGAGTGAGTGAATGGGTGGGTAGGTGAGTCGTGACTGAGTGAGTGAATGGGTGTGTGAGTAAGTGGCTGAGTCGTTGACCGAGTGAGTGAATGGGTGAGTGGGTGAGTGAGTGATTGAATCGGTGACTGAGTGAGTGAATGGGTGAGTGGGTGAGTAAGTGAGTGGGTGAATCGGTGACTGAGTGAGTGAATGTGTTAGTGAGTGTGTGAGTCGGTAACTGATTGAGTGAATAGGTGAGTGGATGCGTCGGTAACTGAGTGAATGTGTGAGTGAGTTTGTGAGTCGGTAACTGATTGAGTGAATAGGTGAGTGGGTAAGTCGTTGACAGAGTTAGTCAACTGGTAGGTGAGTCGGTGACTGAGTG